GAGGCCAGTTCTTCAACCTGGCGGCCGGGCTGGCTCGGGGAGAGGTGAGCGGTCCGCCGGTTCAGCCGGTTTGGGACAGGGAGAAGCTGGGGCCCAGAGATCCGCCGCGCGTGGAGCCGCCGATCGGGGAGTTCTTGAGATTGGACAAAGGACTCTCGCCGTACGAGCAGGACATCGGACCGGTCGTTAGGGCGTCCTTTGACGTGTCGGACGCGTGCTTGGACCGGTTCAAGAAAGAGTTGTTGGACCGCTCTGGGTCGAGCTTTACAACTTTTGAGGCTCTAGGAGCTTTCATGTGGCGGGCCAAGTAAGTTTTTTTTATTATAATTTTTATTATAATAATAACGTTTTTTTTTTTTTTTATAATTAAAGTTTATTGTTATTGTAATTTTTAGGCTTTGTTTCTCAAAAACTCAAAAAAAAAAAACGACTCGATTTTTAGTTTTATTTAAGTTCATGTTCTTTTAAATTTGAACTCAGTTTAAACTCGAGTTTAGAACTAAAACTTGAGTTCAAGTTTCCCCTTCAATTCAAGTTCAAAAATTCAAACTTAAATTAATAAACAGTATTTTTTCTATTATTAAAAATGATATAACTTTTTCGTTTTAATTCTGATTAAGATAATTTTTTTCTCTGGGTTGACAATGAAAAAATGAATAAAACTCTACCCTAAAATTTTTCATCATCATTGAGTTTTTATTAAAATATTATCTAAATTCAAATTCAAGTTTTGACTCACTCAAATACAAACTCAAAGATTCTTATATCAAACTATAACTCAAATGTACACAACCAAATACAAATTCAAGTTACAACTTCAATTCAAGTTATAACTCAAATTCAACTTAAGAACTACGCTCAAATCACACTCTAAAAGAATATGTCCTTAATGTTTAAATGTGGACATGTTAAAGATGCTAGAATAGGCAAGTTAATGTCAAGTCAACTGAAGAAGGAAATTAAAAAAGAAAATGTCAAGCCAATTGGTTCTAGATTTTAGCTTTCATGATTATTGACATGGATAATAGTTTCTTTTTTAAAGGGATGTTTGTTTTTTGTATTCGTTCATGATTTTGAATCATGATTCATGATTTTCTACAATTTTTTTTTTCACAAAAAATACACATAAAACGAGAATAATTATGAATCATGATTCTAAATTCATGAATTAAACGTCCATTAAGTGTTTAGAATTATATTTTAAAATTTTCTAATAAATAATAAATATGTTATAATATGGTAAAGCACTTTAATAAATCATTCAAACACTTTTAAAAACAATTTTAGAGTGAGGACGGTCAAATAAACCCTATTCTTTTTGCATTGAACAACTTGACCACAAGTGAATTGTTTTTATTAGGGTTTTTTTTTTAATCCAAAAAATCATGCATTATACTTTGGAGTGTATCACATTTATGCTTTAAATTTTAAATTTATATTAAATTATTACCTTTTGTAGATTAACAGTCAATTTTAACTGCAATAACGATCTAAACACCTTTTAAAGAAAAATAGAAAAAGAATAAGAAAAAAAAAATTAAAAGTTTAGAAATATTTTTTTATACAATCTTTGACTTGAATATAACAAGTGATTTGTATGCATTCTCCTATTTTTTTGTTTTCTAATTAAAAATTCCGAAATATAAATATTTGTATTTTTCATAGTCAAAGAAACTTGACAAGTGGTTTATATATTTTTTTATTTGGAAAGGAAACTCTCTTAACTCATGATTAACATGTTTGTCATTGGTAATACAGAATTAAAGCAACAAAAATCCCCGGAGATGAGATAGTAAAGTACGCGTATTTCCTCAACATAAGGAAGCTAGTGAAGCCCCCACTTCCGCCTACCTTCTGGGGCAACGCTTGCGTTCCAATATACGCCAAGACTAGCGCCAAGGATTTAGGTGAGAAGCCCATTTGGGAAGCGGCGGATCTGATCAAGAAGAGCAAAAGACACGCCACCGACGAGTACGTGCGCTCGTACATCGACTTCCAGAGCCTGCATTACGCAGAAAGGATCAGTGCAGGCAAAGATGTGAGCGGGTTTACGGATTGGAGACACTTGGGGGACTCGACTGTCGACTTCGGTTGGGGAGGGTCCGTCGCGGTTTTGCTACTATCGAGGCACTTTCTTGGTAGTGTTGAGCCTTGCTATTTCTTGCCTTCCTTGACGGCGAGCGTCGGGAAAAAGGACGGTTTCAAGGTCTCAATCACACTGCGTGAGAGTGCCATGCCGGCTTTTAAGGCCGAGATGGACAAGTTTGGCAGGGGAGATTTCGGCTTCTCTTCCTAATATGTGCGTGACATGCTCATGAGGTGAAGCATCGTACGAATGTGGATAAATTACTAAAGAAAAAAAAGGAGCGTAATAATGAACTTTGTCATTCAAAATAAATTCTAAACTTTGTAATGTATTGGAGAATGCCTTCTTAGGTGTTTCTTAGGTGTTTCGGATTTAAAGGTAGTCCTCGTGTGTAACTTGAGATAATTAGCAATAAAACTGAACTTGTTTTCTGAATATTGTCATTATGGATGTTTGGCAACAACTAAAAGTGCTCAAATTTTGGAATATACCTCCAATTACATGTAATGTTGCATTTTCATTTTTCTCCACATGTAGATGTAAGGTGTGCTTAGTTAGGCGGAAAGAAAATGAATAAAATAAAATGAAATTTAAGTTTGATGTTTGGTTGAATATATAAGAAATGAATAATCATTCAAAATGAATGATCATTCACCTATTTTAGGTGAATCATCATTATTTCCTCACATGACAAGAATAGTCATTTCAAGTTATTTTCTTTGTTTTGTTTTCCATAATTGCCCTTCAATATTATAATCTAATTAAAATATATTATATAGTAGTTATATCTTATAATATATAATATAATATTATAATATTATAATATAATATAGTTATAATAATATTATAATTAATTTATAGTATAGTTATAAATTATATTATATTTATTTAATATTCTATAATATATATATTATATTATAACATAATTATATCTTATAATATAATATATAATAATATTACAATATAATATAATATAATAAAACAATAATATGATGTAATAATATAATATAATATAACATAATGTAATATTTTAACAAAAAATATAACAATTATACAAATAATTCTAATATAATTATATTATATAGTATTAATATAATAATATTTATTATAATAATAATAATATAATAATTAATATTATTAAATTTTAATATAATCTTTAAATTTTAATATTATTATTTTATAGTGTATTACACACGACTACATAATGTATTAATTATAATATATTTATTATATATAATATAATAATTATATATTATATTGTAATTATATATATATTATATTATAGTATAATATCATATAGTTG